TTCAAAAAAACCATCGGCCATTTTGAATGGGATGACCTAATAGCTGCCTTGGATGCCTAATGAGAGCCCTATCCTTGTTCGAGAACCAAGCTTTTCTAAGCCTCTGGTCATTCGATCGAAAATCTAAATCATATTCTTGATGTCACAATAATCGCTCAATTAGTCCCGTGGTTTTGGATGGGTGCTGTCAAACCGGGGCTTGAATGACTTGCATTCGTGAGACTGACACGGGTTCTATTCGGTTAGCATGCTGTGGATATTCGCCGCCTTCGGAAACTTTATGGTGAAGGGAGCTCCTACAAGGTCCACATTGTCCCCCCTTACTTCAACAGCGCTGTCATGCTAGCGGCTCATGTGCCGAGGTTCCAAGAATCAGGCTTGTGATGCTCCAGGACCTTTGAGTTGTCTTGAGAAGGGGTCACATGAAGAGAAGGCTGGATTACAATTCGTTTCCAAAAGGTAATAAAAACGGGAATTTCTTAGGGACTCTTATGGTGCCCCACTGGGTGGTTTTATCGTTGTGAATAGCCCAACCCACCCTCCTTTAACGATTTTTGCAGTGGATTCAGGGGAAGCTGGGTAAGGAAGGGTAGGTGGGTTGAAGGAGTTATGGTAGTGGAGTGGTTGTGAGGCTGCTGCACAAGGGTTTGTGGTAGTGAAGCTGGTTCGCATAGGATCAAGCAGGATGGCGATTAATGTTTCTAAACACAGACTACAATAACCCCTTTTAACCCTAGTTGCTAGGTAACCGGATACACAATAAGGGGTTCCTGTCTGGTATCTCATATCGATAGGTGGTTTCTACTAATTTGCCGCGCTACAATACGCTGCGCTGTTTAAGCACCCTACTGTTTTAGCTGCTGCGAATAAACTGCCTGAGGATGGGCCTTCATTAAGACCCTTCGTACAATTTTTGGCAACCCTTGCCAGAGCAAGGGTATAATGTGTTGAGAATTGTTTTATAGAGGAAATCACAGTGATTTTAAACGACCTCAAGGTGCAGTTTGGCCTGATGGGGGCACCTAGTAGTACCCAGCGAAGCTTGTACATGCCACCTTGTGCAGATTTGTAAACTTTCGCAACCAAAGCGCCTCTTTTTCGGCTTCACAATTCTCAGGTTAGTTAACAGGAGCTAATCATATTAACCAAAGTTGATAAGGAGAGCGAGGAATGTTCCAAGAAGAGTTGTATTCCGCTCTAAATGAAGATCTTTACACTTTCAGTATAATAAAATTAATACAGTCGACTCGAAAATGGATGAAAATGTATTCTGCATGAGAGGGTTTTAGTGCATTTTTCTGTGCAAGAACCGCAAATCTGCATCAGGTTAAAGACATGAGGCAGCGTTCAGACTTCGCGACGGCAGCGCTTCGGTCGCGCGTTCGACGCGATCGATGCAGTCGAAAGCATGCGCATCGATCGCGTCGAACGCGCGACCGAAGCGCTGCCTAAGGCACGATAATGTGGTACTCACACGGAAACAGTAGCAAGGGTGTTATAGTGGGGAAAATGACAAAGAAACAAAGTTGAACAGCCAAAAATTTGCGAAAAACCTCCACTCTGCACCGGGATTTGATGAGCGTTTTTTTACGAGTTTCCTGTCGGCATTGTGCCAACAACTGCAGTGGTAGATGCGGCTACACGTATGTATTCATACATCCGTGTAGTAACGATTCATGTCAATTGCATTTCATAAATGAAGGGATAAGAGCACCAGCATCGATGTGACTGTACGGCCAAGTGTGGGCAGGCGGTTAAGTGGGCGTCCGGGTCGGCATGTTGAAGCTTGATTGGGCGTTATAACTACCAGTCGCCTCGCCGGCTGACGCCGGCGTGGCTCCTTCTGATACGGCCCGGCTGCGCCGGGCGGGCGCGGCTTCGCCGCGCGTGCTTTCTTTCACATATTTCTAGATTCAACTGATATCCCCTTTTGTTCTGTACTCCATTTTTTTCCGGTGTCTGAAGTACTCTTGAGCTATTTTACAGATTCTTCGTCTGACTCCGTCCACCTCGGAGCAGGCCCACAATGTTTGTGCCCCACAATCCTCACCGACGACCCTCTCCTGACCTTAATCCACGTTTTTTCCGGTCTTTGAAGTGCTCTGGGACAGTTTTAGGGAATTTTCGTCTGACTCCGCCCACCTCGAAGCAGGCTCCGCCCACAATGTTTTTGCCACAATCCTCACCCGCGACCCTCTGCTGACCTTAATCCACTTTTTTCCGGTCTTTGAAGTGCTCTGGGACCATTTACAGATCTTTTGTCTGACTCCGCCCACCTCGAAGCAGGCTCCGCCCACAATGTTTTTGCCCCACAATCCTCACCCGCGACCCTCTGCTGACCTTAATCCACTTTTTTCCGGTCTTTGAAGTGCTCTGGGACCATTTACAGATCTTTTGTCTGACTCCGCCCACCTCGGAGCAGGCTCCGCCCACAATGTTTTTGCCCCACAATCCTCACCCGCGACCCTCTGCTGACCTTAATCCACTTTTTTCCGGTCTTTGAAGTGCTCTGGGACCGTTTTACAGATCTTTTGTCTGACTCCCACCTCGGAGCAGGCTCCGCCCACAATGTTTTTGCCCCACAATCCTCACCGACGACCCTCTGCTGACCTTAATCCACTTTTTTCCGGTCTTTGAAGTGCTCTGGGACCGTTTTACAGATCTTTTGTCTGGCTCCGCCCACCTCGGAGCAGGCTCCGCCCACAATTTTTTGCCCTACAATCTTAACCGACGACCCTCTGCTGAACTTAATCCACTTTTTTCCGGTATTTGGAGTGTTCTGGAACCGAGCTACAAACATTTAAAATAAATACCCTGCGATTTAGGGCAAGCCCCGCCCACTGTGGGCGGGTCTCAACATGCTTTGAGCGTGCCCTATATTCGCCAGATATTTACATTCTAAACTGAGCTTTTTGCGACTTCCAAACACTCTCGCGAACCGGGTTACTGAATTTTGCGAGAAGCACCGCCCACCTTGAGTACGCCCCGCCCATTTAGGGTGTACCTGCCACAGTTAGTCTGGCGACTCCTTACTAACCTTATTCCCTTTTTCCCCCATCTTTAGGCTGCCCCGGAAGCGAATTATGAACATTTTTGTGCGGAACCCCAAACTTTCGGGAGTGCCCCGCCCACTGTGGGCGGAGCTTCCCTTAGGTCAAGTGTGCTTTTTATTTCTTGTCCCACGCCCTACCCATCCCCACCTTGACCGGACCTCTCCAAGTCGTTCTTCAGGTCGAACCGAATTTCCGGACAGACAAACTTACAAACAAACAAACTTACAAACAAACAAACAAACTTACAAACAAACAAACTAACAAACAAACAAACTTACAAACAAACAAACTAACAAACAAACAAACAAAAGACAAAGCGAATTTATATATGGGGTATCTTCGCCGAAAGAGGCGCTTCGCAGCGCCTGCTCAGGGGCACTGAATTCTGGTCTGTGGGCGTACTTATCCTACACGCCCTGTGGATTAATCATGCTACTCGCCTTGAAAGTTTTTTGAAGTTGTGGAATTTTTTTCACGCAATATAGTAGAATTCTAGTTGATGAGGTTTTTTCTTCACTTGCAAAGAGGGATCATGGGGGGGGGGGGAGGTGAATGCAAATTATTCGCCAGTTATTTCACGGAAGGAGAGTCTTAGCATTGATGGTCACCCTGACTACATCGCCGATGCCTGCTCTCTTAGCAGAGTAACTAGCGAAAGTGTAAAAAATCTCCATCTCCCCCCCCCCTCCCTTCTAAGGCAAACAATGCTTGATTCCGGTTTTAATTGCGACCGTTGCACATTGGCTAAGGTGCCTAGTGCGCTCTGGATGTTATAATAGTCGCTCAGTTGGTCCAGTGCTTTTTTTGGTTGGCTTGATTGGCTTGTCGGAAGTTTCTGAGGAATCAGGTTCTACTCAGCTCACGTGTTGCCATTACTCGAGGTCTTCAAAGCCTTCAGAGTCAAGGCAGCCCTTGGTAGGCCCCTCTTGTTAGGCTTTTTCAGTGGCGCTATTACTATCTGCTAAAGGCTCAGACTGTCGAATGTTGGTGGAGTCTTCATGCAGTCACATTTTGTGACACGGTTTCACGAGCCAAACGTGGTGATAAGTCCTTCGACGGGGGTCGTATTGATTTGCTGGGCTAGCGGATTCATATGAAGAGAGACTTACGGAGGAACGGTTTATTGAGAGGTGATCGAAATTGGAATCTCTTGAGGAAGGTTTGTTGAGCAAGAGAAGGTGAAGTTTGGCTAGGCGTGAAGGGCTTGTGGTGGTGAGATTGCTTGGAACATTACTTGCCATTCTACTTGACCCCACGCTGAGTAGTTGCTAGGTGACCGGCTACTCGTTGAGACATTCATGCCTGGTCTCTCAATTCGAAAGGTGGTTCCTACGAAATTGCAGTGTTGGCCATACGCTGCACTATTTTGGCACCTTACCGCTCCAGTTGCTGTGAATGAACTAAAAGCAGAAAGCCTTCAACCTCAGGGCCTTCAATAAGACCCTCCGTATAATTTTTGGCAACCCTTGTGAGAACAGGGGTACATTGTTTCGAGAATTGGTTCTACTGAGTGGTAGAGCTGGGCTAATTGTAAGAAGCTTTGAAAATATAGGTTGGAAGGAAAGTCGTGTCACTGTTGTGACTTTTTTCTTTTTTATTTTCTAACTCAACATACAGTGGGAATTAGTCAAAATACTCGTCATAGTTAGCCACTACAGTGCTCCACCTAATGGGCAGGTAAGCATTTCCCTCTCCCAGAACTGAGGAGGCTGCGTGTAGAGTAAGTCAGCGCCCTCTCGTGTCATAAAGTAGCTGGAAAGTTTTCGTTAGAGAAGGAGGCCTTAAAGAGGTGGAGCAGGTAGCACTTGTAGAACACTACGTCACAAGAGTACGATGAGCTAGGAGATCTCCCAGCCTTGCTTCTCAGTTATTTGGTAGGTCTTCATAACAGCTATGGGGTCTCGCGTACTGCGAACGAGGTCTTCCGAAGCTAGTTTCGGTCATTTCTCTGCAACAGCTTCCTCCGGTTTCAGAAGCTGAGCAACACAAATGGTAGCGGTGCCCGTCTGTTCTTCAAAGGGCAGCTCGTTCTGCGGCATCCCCCCTCGCGTCCCAGAAGCAGCACAGGAGAACCTTTTCGGAATACATGCCCGGTTTGAACTCCTAAAATGGATCCTCTCCTTGAGAGAGACACACGGTACTGTGTGGAGTTGAAATCACAGAAGCCCCACTGTCATCTCCACTAAGCAGTCTTCCAGAAACACCTTTTCACGAGGGCGGAGACGGAGAGACTGACCAAGGCTACCCGGGTGCACACGTGCCATCGATCACGGTACGAGTGATTCAGTTCGAGCAGTTACTTTTCAGGTAACCAAGGACTTACAGGCGGTTGATGACCGTCAGTTAGCGTACATCCGGGTCTTGTCGCAAGACTGTGTGTGGCAACCTCCGAGTCCTCTTCGACAGCTTCGAGAATGGTGGAGTCTTCCACTCGGTGGAGTCTTCCACTCGGTGGAGCCGTTCACCCCGAGTTGTCTTCGAGGTCGGTCTCATTTCACGAAACGAGCGAACCAAAAACGGTCAGTCGTGATGTTTGGTGTCCTCCGCCCATGACTGGCGCCCTTACACAACTTTTGCAGGAGAGCCTCTAGAATGTTTTACAAGTATGGCATGTTGCGCCATGTTCGAGCATTAAGAACCGAAAAATGTGGGCTTTCAAAAAAAAAACACTGACAGGACTTTCCTTCCAACCTAATATATTGAACGTTTCCTGCATCAGGCGGGCTAGCGTTCTATTTTTGTGAGTGGTCTTGGAGATTCTAGAGTTGCGTTTAACCCTTTCTGACCGAATAGCTTGATTCAGCAGGATTGTGGTGCTATTCGTAGGAGAAGTATTCAGCATTTTCGCCAGTTCTTTTTGCTAGTCCATGTTCGTGAACAGGTTACACTTCGGTGAAACTCCTGTGAAGCGACAAAGTGGTATAAGATAGCCTACTTGGATATAAAAACTTACAGTTTTTCACAAGGTCGCCTGAATAAGCTTCGACAAGTATTCATTAGGCCGAAAATTCAGTTTGACCGTATTGTATCAAGAGAGAAAAAGATGGAGTGCAAAGAGGGTACAACCTTTTATCTGTCAGCCAGAAAAGAGAATCGAGTAAATATGCGGGTATGAATGTTTGCATTTCCACTACCCTTTGCCAGCAACCCTCCCCCGTCCCCTTCCGCATAGTTTAGGGTCGAAAGGGCATCATTTTGGCGATGATGGCCCACCCTGTACGATTGCCATTCGCCATCGGTAGCATCCCATTGAGGCCTCGCCTGCTTTGAAGATCGTTTGGAGAATCATTCTTATCTTTGAATTGTCTTAGGGCAAATCTGGTCCAATGAACTCTACAACTTTTCACCTTTTTAACACCCGTTTTCTCCATGCTTGTATCGATACATTAATATAGGTTTTCTTCCAGAAGTGCCGTACATTTGGGAACATGGGATCAAATTAGAAAGGTCCGAAGATTGGTCAGACTGGGCAAGCAAAGTGAGCTCCAGTCTATTCCTTACGTTTATTCGTACTGATTGCAATTATGATGTTTTTTCCAGTTGGGCTCCGATGCCATGGGTAGCCCAGTGTCTCTATTCGGATGGTGAAACGGTGCAATTACCAGACGGACGGTGTTATCGTGCTCGAGGCTCATCGGCGTTGAAAACAGTCGCTGCAGAGCCAGGATGCCCTGAGCACGACAAGTTTTATGTGAGTTCCAATCTCTTGACTCGATCAAAGTTATTCAATGATAGAGAGAATTCCCGCGATCGAGTGACCCATGAAATAGCCCCGTGAATTTGCTAGTTAGATCCACACTCGCAGACATTTCCACTTTGTCACCTCAGCGCGACATGGCTATCACAGCACGATGGCCTTTTGTGATATCAACATTTTTGGGTGCAAGAGAGCGGCTATACCAGTAATCACCCCGAGTGTTGCATGCAGCTTCGTAGGGTGATCTGGACAGCTTAGAAAGTGGTAGGAATTTTGAAATTCAGAAAAATAATCGGTAAAATGGGGAAGAAGAGGGTTTTGTACCAGATTTCAGGAACTCAAGAGGTCGTACGGACCTTTCGGATCGCGCGCGTGCCTTGTTTTGCAGGGGGCCATTCAAATGATTCTCGGCAAGAGTTTGGACATGCCACCCTACGGCCTGTAAATTCCTATAATCAGTGTGGCTCAGCTGAACCATTTTGCAGTTTCACAAGGGTTTATTCAGCGGACGTGAACTAGTGAAAGAGGCTAGCCAAAAGCTTCTGGCACAAATGCTCCGCCCCCCCCCCCCCCCCCCCCACTCCCCCATCCCTCCCTTCCCCTCCAACCGAATAACGCTCAAACGCATACACATCACAACCATTTATGAGGAAAGAAATCTCACCTTGCAGGCGTTTTTATGTCGCTAATTTCTCGTTGTCCGTGATTTTCCACGAGCTAGCCTTTTTTTCAGTGCTTGCGGAACGCCCCTGCACCCTTTCATAAACGGCATGCTGACATCTTTGAAGGTGCCCTCTTATTGCTGACGCAGCTTCTTGGATGTTGGCTTGCTGACTACTGATGGTGGCAACACCATCGTTCACATTTGGTCGTTGCGACCCATGTCGCCTAATTATTTGCTGCTCGGCGAAAGCGGTTCAAGACAAAGTGAGTTAGCTCTTGCTGCTTATTATCTAAATGGAAATCATACATGCCTTCGTCCCCCTCATGACAGTAATTGTGAATAAATTGATTACATTATTGTAATTTTATGCGCTCAGGTTATCCTCGGCCGTATCTATGAACCGTCGCCCGAAGATTTAGCGCTGATTCAGCAAATTCATCTGGAAAATCGACTAACCCATTGATTTGTTGTGCTCGATTCTCACTGATTTCCTTCAATTGCGAGAAGTATTACTTACAATTGACGAAGCGTTGTGATGTATTTTTTTATGTTGTACATATCGATGAACTCTTCTTGCCAAAGTATTGTTCAATCTTTCGGGTGGTGTTAGCTTCTTGAATGAAATTTTATTACATATACTGCTCTTGTCGGTTTTTTTGTGAGGTTCGTTTTAAACCTCTTTATACTTCGCGAATTTTGCAATTTGAGGATACGTTCACCTATACCCGATGTGACAAGAGGATCGTGATTCGCCGCGCTGTGGGCGCCGCGTGCGACGTCGCGCCCGCAAATGACTATGGTTACAGGTAGTAGATGGCGGCAAGAGGCAATTCAAAACCGAAAATGGTCATGATTGTTTACAATGACGGGATCTACATGAAGTTCGGTACTCCAGTCTACAGGTTAACACGAATTAATAAAACGCCGCGAACATGAACGCGCGCGGCGGAGCGGCGAATCACGATCCTCTTCACCGTCTCCCATAACCGGATGGGCGGAGACTGTCAGCCATTGGTTGTACCTCTACTGGTGCACCTCTCACAAATGTGGTAGACGGTTCAATTACTGTTAACCACTCGAAAGCCCAATTATTGTTAACCGCTCGAAAGCTAAATTACAGTTAGTTTTGGCTCTATGTGATTATCGTGGAATGTGTCTTCAGGGGTCATAATATTTGCAGAAATAAATGAAGCAGGAGTGCCATATATTACTTACTTGGAACTGTTCACGCCAGATGGTGTCAGCGAGCGCGTGGGTTTCTGGCGCGGGAGCCCAGCTCCTTGTGTCAGCGGCGCGGTGGTTCTGGCGCGGCCCACTCCTTTCCCATCACTCACGAACGCCCTAAACCGCAACGATCGACGAGAAACAAACTGGCGCGGCGCTCACGCGCTGCTGACACGCCTCGGCAGGCTTCAGCCGATAATGACTGTAATTTGTGCTCTTCAAGGATTAGCTGTCAGCATTGTTCAGGGCCAGAGGTTCGCTGATGAGAAGTGGCTGTAAATAGCGACCTAATGGAAGGAGCACCACCACTGTCGTGGATCGCTCATCCAGTACGCGTCCAACTTGTCCCTGGAGGTAGTGAACAGTGCGTTGAAGGCAATCTCTCTACACTGTGGATCCACTTAAACTGGGAAGCTTGCGTGCTTGTGCGATTCCGCAATGAAAGTGAGTCTGAGAAAGTTCCTCTTATCGTCTTTATTGGTCCCTCACTGCCTCACTTTCCAAAGTTTGGGTCTTCGACTTGGTTAGCGAGTCTTGACCTTACCTGAGCCACGATGTTTCTGCAGTCAATTAGCTGTGGGAACTTGTGGCCTCCCGAGCAAAGACGCTGGGTTGGCCTAGAGATCTCCCAATCGCGTCTACCCGCAGTCAAAAGGTGTTACTTGCATTCTGAAAGTAAAACTAACTCTAGAGCCAAGTTTTGCGGGAGAATTCTGTGAGACGTTTCCCCCGGCGCCGCTGGTGCAGGACACGGTAATTGTTTCGTGCCCAAACCGGCAGGGATTAAATTGCCCACGGGACCATTTTTTCTCAGATCTACTCTTGAGGCCAAATTATGATGAAAATTCGACTTCAGCTTCTGAAAGCAAGGCAGTGAAGGGCAAATAGAGTCAGATTTTCTTCCATCGCTCCTATTTCTCTTCCAGAGCCCTGCCAGGTCTCATGGATACCTCGTGAGGGCTACACGTCGGTGAGCATGATTGATGAGTCATCTCCTCACTGCCAACAATATAGTGTTGAATTGGCTGACATGATGGGCAATATGCTTTGGCAGTGGCGACAACCACCTCGTCTGCACACGAGGTGGACGCCCGAAGAGTTAAAGAAAGGGAGTAACGATCTAAGGCGTACTACAAAAAACGGCGTTCAAGCTTTGCTTTTTGGGGCCTTAAAATATAGTACTGTATATATATATATATATATATATATATATATATATATATATATATATATATATATATATATATATATATATATATATATATATATATATATATATATATATATATATATATATATATATATATATATATATATATATATATATATATATATATATATATATATATCTGATCTGCAAAACGGATGGGGCATTGTGAAGGAGCAGGGATTTAAGCGCAACCATGGCAACCTTTTTTTACCATTGGTGCCGTTCTGATCTGGCAATAATTGGTAGGAAAGACTTCTGTGTCTGGCGAGAAATCCTCCTAAGCGTCCCCGAAAATGCGCTGAAAAAATTCCTCAAGCATTATTCACTGACTTAGCTTCATTTAGGCGAACTCGGCTTCTATCGTGGTTACGAGCGAACCACGTGGACGTCAAGGAATGCGATGACGGTTCTCTGCTGATTTTTGCAAGGGCAGCCGCGTATTCAAGTCGCCGTTCAACTGAAGATCAGTTGCTATTGGAAATTCTTATTTTCTGAAAACGATTACGTGCATTGTTGTGCAAAAAGTTGCCAAAATGTGATCTCACTGGTTGTCATTTATTCACCTATTTTTCGATGTCCTATAAATGCGCTTCACCGAATTGTATTGTGATAGGCTTAAGACGTCTGGGGTCTCATCTGTAATTCTTGCAATCGTGCTGCTGTCTTTGAGTCGATACTATGTCAACAAAGGGAAATTTTTCTTAGACTCTGGTCAAACATGGTGGGCGCACCCCGATTCACGAGATCTATATGCTTGTCAGTAAGTGTTTGGTGTGGGAGGATGTGATAAGATGATGTAAGGCCAGTGTCGCGATACTCGTAGAGTATGCGAGAATAGTTCTTCCTGTGCACCAAAATTCGCTGCGTCCAATCGTCGTACCCACTTTCGCGGACTGATGTGGGCGCTTTGATACATGATCTTTGCCACTGTGCTTAGCGACGACAACTTAACCCCGCGCCCGTGCACTAGATCCACCTCTCAATTCTCCAAAGCTGTATAGTGATGAGGTCTCGACATTTTTATATTTTGTGGCGATACCATGGTTTACTTCTCTGGTTTACTTCTCTTTTCCACTCTTAGTTTCTTCGCAGCGGATGCTACTGTAATGTTTGGACCTAACAGGGTTCTTATACAGGGCGGGTTGCCTGTCTGCTTTCGCATCTTCCATATGTTTACTGCACTTCTGTACGTATTTACCAGTTCCAATTATCATAAGGGCACGAAAAAAGAGCATACACATTTATTCACATAAGTCTCTAGAAACGTTTATGACACGACTCCTCCTACTACTGGCCGCTCTACGCTTTCAACAGTCTCCGAACTTGCAGTATTGCTCAGCTGAAAGATTACCTGCTCAAAGGAGATTATTTTTGAACAAAAATGTGTGAGGATGTATACGGAGGGCTGGGGGGGAAGAGCAAGCGGTAGCGCATTCGCCTGGGAAGCGTGAGGTGAGAGCTGGAGCTTTGCGTGAGGTTTGATTTTTGCTCCTCCCCCTCCCCCTCCCCCCATCGCAACACGCCCTAGGATAACTGTCCCTTGGAACAGCGACACTAGAGGGCGCTAGTGGTAGGGTGCCCTCGTCGACTTACACCTTCCATGATGCGTTGGCTCAAAAGTTGTGTGACTCTACTCCAGTATTGGCAATTCCTTCAGTTGGTGGTCGGGTGGCAGGGGGAGGGACAGACAGTTTTTCTGTACTGTTGGTACTTCATCAAGTCCAATACGGTCCCCTGTCAGAGGCTGTGCCTACAGTTCTTCCTTTGAGGGAACCGACAATCAAAACGATGCATAGTGTCGGTGTGTGGATCGGTTCCGTCAGTTCAATAGAGAAACACACTCCATATCTCGAATATGGGGGAGGCGTGGATCTGAACCATCAGAAGCGCTCCGCTGACGAGATATTTTCGTTCTGTGACAATTTTAAACAGTTCTTGAGCCAGCACAGAACAGAATGACAATTTCCTTACACAGAAGTATTCCACGAAAAGCACATCTTCAGCCGTGTTCAAATAGAGTACGCGGCCACGCCTTCCCCATGTTCCGGATGTGAGGGCAATTGTCCTTACGTACATATTCATCCCTGTAGAAATATCGTATTGATCTATTAAACTTACATAAAATTGTCCAGCGGATTGCTTCACTTTTGAGCGGGTGGGTGTGCACCTGAACCAGTTTATGTTAGGCTTTCGATAGAATTCTAAATAACTAGGGGGCGTAGCTCACTTGGATGGACCTGGCTCCCTTACACCCACAGTTCGATTCGCCTTATCATGGATTGTGCCTTTAGTATCATCGCTCAGGGTGCGTTCATACTCTGCGTCGGCGTTTTGAGCGCACGCGAGCTTTGGAGCGTATACTATCGTGCCCTCAGGATAGATCGATACCAACACTTTCCTTGTTGCTTGGAACGATGCATGCAGGCGTATGCTCAAAACGCTGACGTAAAGAATGAACGCACTCTAACCGGGCCAACAGTAATTAGGTAGTCGATCCTGCAGCTGTGAAAAAAAAGCGTCCAGCTTTACTCTACTTCGCTGCGGATGAGGGGGCGTGTCAGGCGGCATGACTGTGCCACGGCGGCAGACCCGTTCCCTACCAGTTGTTAGGCGAGTGTGCGACAATAATTGGTTGAAAACGAGTGATACGAAAATATGATATACATAGTCTTATCACTTGCTCGCTTCAACAACTGGTGAAGAACGGGTTTGGCACCGCGCAAAATCAGCCTGCTTGACACGCCCATTCGTCCGCAGCGAACTAGACTATATTCATTATGATCCCTGCACCTCATATTATTATAGCACAGGCCCGTTATATCTTAACGGTAGGGAGATGGCCTGTCATCTAGCACGTCAATTCGGTAAAGTGCCACATAACACCGTATAAACAAGGAAACTTGGGTTGAAACTCGGGTTGTTTGTCTTGTAAAAGAGTTTCGAGACATGTCAGTGACGTTTTATGTGACGTCAGTGACAGGTCATCCACCACTTAACAAGTATCGTAACTCCTGCTATATCACAATGACGAGCACTTACTGCTGCGGCTTCACTTCTGCTGGTGGTGGCTTCTTCACTTCTGGTACTTCTGCGGGATGAGCTTGACCGCTATGATAACTGAAAATACGAAAGTACTTGCATTCATGGTGAACACACACTTAGCACGTGTGCTCATATCCTGGAGATAGGGGGGAGGGGGTGGAGGGGCGTGGCATCGTAATGCGTTTAAGCGTGACGACAGCTGCACTTTTTGCTGGGACATGTCGTTTTGGGACATGTAATCATGCCTTTGTCCAGGACGACAGTTGTCTTGAACGAAAAAGCATCCTACGCCTTGTTTAAATGAAGTACGCGGCCACGCCCTCTCACACTTCCGGGATATGGAACTTGTACCCTCTACTCGGCTTTCGAAGAGTGTTGGTCCTTATCGAGCCCAGAACCCAAAAAATGACCTTGTCTCGGCTTTATGGAACTTTGAAATGCTATTTTTCTACTGCCCTAACCCTTAAAGACAATTCGCAATAACTGTATGGGCGACGGAGAGATGAATGAGGACTCATGATCATCTTTTTCCTTTTCGGCGCCCCTCCTCTTTCGAAAGTACAGAGGAGAGACGTGCTAGTGCGGATGGTAACACGGTCCAAGCCCATCCGATTATCGCGGAATATGTTGTACCTTCCGCAACTGATTACAGTTAAGAGCAGCCCAGGTAGGAAGGAGGATAACCGAGGTAAAGGATCATCCCACCACTTTTCCAGTTATAGGCTTGTTCGGTTGACGAGCGAGTTCACGTTTTTCGAGTCACTGGTCCTTCAGTTCATCCTGGAGCTTACTATTAGCGGAAACCCTGTTTTTTTTTCAAACGCTTTGGCGCTTGCCTTGTGCTGGCACTCGATGGCTTGCGTTAGTCAGAATTCTGTACATTCGCGTTTATCTGTTTAATGGTCTTGATACTGAGAGGGGGCCTGAACTACTATGGACGCGGCAGCGGGAGGAGATCTCATTAGCTCAGCAGAATACGACGCCATTGTTGCAGAACCATTCCCTCCCCTCGACTTTCCTGATTTTGATCTCTGTTTGCGAGATTTTGAGCCTATTAGCATAGAAGAGCTACAGTTCTGTTCGCCACTGATGCTTGCGCATGTCAGGGAGCTGGATATGGACTCGGCGTGAGCATCCTCCACCAGTTGTGGTCGCTTGCTGGCTTCAACAACTGGAAGAGAAAGGGCTCATGGCGCGCCAAACCCAATTATCCTGGCACGCCCCTGCATCCGCAGCGAACAAAACTGTATGTAGCGCTGACTTGATGGCAGACTTTTCTCGTCCATGCAGACACACAAACGTCTGAAGTAACTGAAAACAACTGAGCTCACCTTGAAGACTGCATTAGACTTTGGTTCACGACTGCAAAGCGAATAATTAGAATTTGGAACCTTTCTGAGGACGGGAGTATTCTGTTAATCGAAATAGCAACCTTGTTTAGGAGTTCTTGGCCGCTCTTCTAGCCTGGTATCGATCGGCGTCGACCGCTAGTGTTTCGGGGAGGGTATGGATGATAGGAGGATACCAGGTTGTGTGATTAGACAACGCGCACCCTCCTATGCCACCATGCTCTCCAAGAACAGTAGCCGGTCGCGTCAATCAATACCCATCTATAGCGCCTAAGCACGGTTGCAATGTAGCGCGTCGGCGCGAGTTACCACGAACTCTGAACGCTGACTTAGCAGGTAACGGTCCTTTGCTAGACCTACGCCACGCCACCCTATAACAGCTTTTTCCACCATCCTGAGCCCAGAGAAATTGGTGGGGAAAGGTTGTCTTGACCCCGCTCAAATCCACATCCCTCAACACGCTCTCTTTTTTGCGAAGATGATGCCTGTACACTTGGAGGGGCAAATGCGTTGCAAGGATAATTTCCACCATTAATCATGAGACTTACGTGACTTTGACCCATAGGCTGCTTCTTCTAACGTCTGGGATGCCACCATTTTCTGTTTTGCATTTTTTGCACACAATAACAACGTCGTAGTAAAAATTAAAAGTAAAATCTGAAATAGGAATCGTTACTCTTCAGCGTCTTGTTCAATCAAATCTGGCAAACAGAATTTACCTTGAGCACTACTAGTAGCTGCATACACTCACAAACCGGCACAACCACTTGGTAAACATTCATGAAGTAGAAATTGGGTGGTGAGCATTCTATCGAATGAAGTGCGAACTGATATGGGATCAGTATCTCTACCACCGAATCACGTAAGCAGCTCGCCTAGCGTTGAAAGACTGTACCTCTTGTGGCAGAAGCTGGAGGAGGCTTCCTCTGTATCGTGCATAAATTGTACATAAATAGTAGCTAAATATAGGTTTCAAAGTACATTTACTCATTAATCGTGCAAGTCGAGCGATTCAGTTGCTCAAATCGCACTGTGTAAGCAAGTTGAAAAGGGCCCACTATGCGACGTTATACTCCCGCAAGCGTCTTCGTTCTTTTAATACTGGGAGTGGGAAGGCAGAGAGTAGAGGGGCCACACTGCATCAAGTCTTCCTCGTTACGGGTGATGCCAAGGGGAAGGTCTGACGCTGCGCCACCCCGTTTTTTCTTTCTTTCCTTTCAGCAAGAGACAAGACTGTATCAGTCGTTTTCCGCCAGTTGTTGTTGCTCACCCGCTCCAACAACTGTTAGAGAACAGGATGGTGAGGAGCCGAACCCAGCCTCAATGAAACACCCCATCAACCAGCGGCTTACACGACTGTACCTCGGTGAAAGGAAGATTGCAGTCGAGTTCCATTAATCAGTGACATAACATCGACTCAGCATCGTAGATTTGGGCGAGATCCCCGTGCTATAAGTTCAGTCAGTGGTACAGTAATGATCACTACAAACCGTAGGGCTTGTGACGGGGCTGTGTTGGAGCGTTGTTAGGACGGCCTCTTTCACCGAGTACAGGACGGGGGGAGGGGCAAAAAAAAGACACTTTGGCCGAGTCACATATCAGCAAAGTTTTCGCAGCCCAGACAGAAGACGTGGATACGAGTACCAGGGCGGAAGATACCCAAGATGTTCCTCGATAAGCAGGAGCAGGCTCTCGCCCATTCATGTACAAAATATGAAGCCATCTCCAATCGCAGCCTGACTGGAGAAGGCCTTATGGAATTCACCTCACCTCCAAACTTCTCGTATGGAGTCACCCATGGACCTGGGTACCAACACTCTTGATATGGAAGACCTCCAACGTCGAGCAGCTCGACAACGTCGCTACAGGAAGCTCTCTGCATCGTCAAGGCGCGGATTGATGGTATGGACCGGAAATCCAGGAATGGGGAGACTGATATTTTTTTTCGTGGACCCCGGACTGAAAGTGAACGCTGACGGTTACATCGACCAACTCGAGGAGATATCCTATCTTCATGTCGTCGCCCGTACCATCTTGGAAATT